TCGCTCCTGCAGCTGCGCTGAGGCTTGGCTGGGCTGGGAGGGCATGCCCGCTCTGCCCTGTCGCTGGGCATTCTGGGTGGGGATCTGTTACTGGAACTTAGCAGTCATTTATTTATTTATTTATTTAGTGCCAGTACTGGGGCTTGAACTCAGGGCTTGGGCCCTGTCCCCTAGCTCTTTTACTCAAAGCTATCACTCTACCACCTGAGCCACAGCTCCACATCTGGCTTTTTGGTGATGAATTGGAGGAGATCTGAGTCTCATAGACCTTTCTTTTTCTTTTTTCTTTTTTTGGTCGGTTGTGGGGCTTGAACTCTGGGCCTGGGCACTGTCCCTGCGCTCTTCAGCTCAAGGCGAGCGCTCTACCGCTTGAACCACAGCACCACTTCCTCATAGACCTTTCTGCCTCAATCCTCAGATCTCAGCCTCTTGAGTAGCAGGGATGACAGGTGTAAGCCACCAGCCTGCAGCCACAGTGCATTCTTCAAATGCCCTAGTACGGGTATAAAACGCTTCCTAAGCTGGGTGCTGGTGGTTCATGCCTGTCATTCTAGCTACTCAGGAGGCTGAGATCTCAGGATCACAGTTCAGAGCCAGGTAGGAAAGTCCATGAGACTTTTTTTTTGTGGGGGTCCGGTCGTGGGGCCTGAACTCTGGGCCTGGGTGCTGTCCCTCAGCTCTTCAGCTCAAGGCTAGCGCTCTACCACTTGAGCCACAGCGCCACTTCCGGCTTTTTTCTTTTTGCTTATGTGGTGCTGAGGAATCGAACCCAGGGCCTTGAGCATGCAAGGCAAGTGCTCTACCACTGAGCCACCTTCCCAGCCCCCAAACTGGCCGTTTCTGACCACAGGTTTCCCCCCGGGGTGTGTGGAATGTCACTTAGCACGGGAAGACCACCACAGGCTCCTCTCCTGGAGCTAGTTACCTCACCATCCCCTTCTTGGGCTGACAAGATTTAAAAAGCCCTGCAGAGGTTGGGATCCTGCCTCAGAGACTAAGGTCTTCCAAGAGAACACAGCCTGGGCTCAGAAGCAGAGCTGCTCAGAAACCCAAAGGAGGCAAAGATCTGGTCAAACAGCCCCCAGTGACATTGGATCTGCTGTGCCACACACAGACCCCTCTGCATCAGGCTTGCCCGAGCTAAGGCCAGGGCTGTCAAATGACACATGGATGTGTCCCTTGCCTCCAGCTGCCGTGGACGTGGCTTGCTTGGCCACAAGCAAGAACATTCTCATTTCATTAGCAAGGCCTCCGCGCCAGGGCGTGGCCGCTTCTGCCTCTCTGGGGAACACATAGGACCAAGCCCAAGGCAGCAAGGCCTCCTCGGGCTCTGCAGGACCCAGGGGCTTCCGTGCACCTCAGCTGTGTGGCTCACACACGCAGCCTCCAGCATCCACCAGAGATAGAGGAGTTCTGCGCTTCCGTAGACAGGCCTGGCTCCAGTTCCAACTCTCTTTTCTTTCTCTGTACTGGTCTCAGGGATAGAACGCAGACACTCCAACAACCTGGCACCAAGCATCCGTCACCACTCCAGGCAAAGGGCCAAGTGCTTTGTAAACAGCTACCTCGATTCTCACAGCAAACTCGTGACCCAGGGCTGTCGCTACCACATCTGCGTTCACCACCCAGCAGGTCCTGGGGCGGTCAGTTTTCAGAAAGATTGGGGAATGAGGACAAGATGTCCTCTCCCAGGAAGCGGCTGTCCATGGCTGGACCATGTCCTCATAAATAAAGTCTCTTCCAGCTTTATAGGTGGTTAATTGGAGATAAGAGTCTCATGGGCTTTCCTGCTTGGGTTGACTTTGAACTGTGATCCTCAGATCTCAGTCTCCTAAGTTCCTAGGTTTGCTGGCATGAGCCACCAGTGGTTGGCTTGTGATTTGTGTATGTGTGTGTGTTGGTCGTGGGTCTTGAACTCTGGGCCTGGGCGCTGTCCCTCAGCTCTTCAGCTCAAGGCGAGTGCTCTACCACTTGAGCCACAGTGACACTTTTGGCTTTCTGGTGGTTAAGATAAGAGTCTCACGGATTTTCCTGCCTGGGCCGCCTTTGCATTGCAATCCTCAGATCTCAGCCTCCCGAGTAGCTAGGATGACAGGTGTGAGCCACCAGCACCCAGATGATTTTTTTTTTTAAAGAAAATGTTATGGTATTTTCTCCACCCTTTTCTTTTCTGTCATCTCCAGAGTACTTTAAACTTGAGTTACATTTGCTAAGGAAAGCATCTGGACACTTCCCCATCTTCTCTAACCTCCTTTTCCTGTCTTCTTGGGTCAGAGGTGGAAGCAATAAGTGGGCCTACTCTAAACATGTCCAGCGGGGTCAGGCCGAGGGTGGAAGGAAGCCCCCAGCTGTGTGGGGCCTGGGGAGAAGCCGCTGGCCTGGAGAGTAAGGGCCCGGACACGGGGCACAGCCCGAGCGACTGGCACATGCCAGAGTGACAGGCCCAGGTCTGCCGAGCTTGCTGCGGGGGCGCAAGCAGCCACGGGAGGTGCATCCATGCTGAGGTGGGAGGTGGTGGCCAGGAGGGCAGTGGCTGGGGCACAGCTGCCTTTGTCTGTGGCAATGGAAACCCCACAAGACTGGGCTTCTGGTCCCTGCCTGCCCTGTTCCCTCAGGACTTCCGCCTGTGGGGTCCTCTCTGGAGAGGATGAGGGAATCCTGGGTACAGCCCTCATGTAGAGATACGAGGGTCATTCTTCCCCCGGGAGATGTACAAAATGCTGCCTCCACTTAAAGCTAGACCTCTAGAAGCACTTCCCCCTCGTAAGGGTCCAGAGCAGGAATGAAGGGTCCTCTGAGATTTACCTGCAGGGGCCATCTTGCACATGTTCTTTGACCTCTCCACGCCTCCGTTTCTCTGCCGATGAAATGAGAGTAATGAGTTTCACCCTGCCGGAAGGTAGCTGATTTGTGTGAAGCGCACGTATCTCCCTCCCAGTGGATCCAGGTGTTGACCTCCTTACTGTCAGTTCCGGCCCTCCCTTAACCGTGAGTTCCCTGAGGGCAGGTCTCAGCCTGCCTGGACCCAAAGGGTTGGAGGCAGGAAGTACTATGATAGCCCACAACACAAGTGTTTGCCCGTGGACACACACACACACACACACACACACACACACACACACAGAGGACAACCATCACCAAGAACGGAGAGTCTATTAGACTTGGAAACTAGTTTCAGATTCTAAACTATGGAATAGTGAGCAATTGAAGAAGCAAAGCAGTTAGGGGTGACAATGGCCAGTTGGCTCCTCTGCGACCCCAGTGCCCCATCGACGCAGGGCTAAGGCCTTGGAGCCTCCTTGTTTCAGGGGCTGACCCTACTGTCCCATCAAGGATAAGACTCGTTCCCTCCCTTCTCCAGGAATTCGTGGGAGAGCGCCAGACACGGCGCTGTTCACCAAGTCTGTAATGAGAGGTTGAGGCACAGCAACACAATGGCCAGGTAAGATGCAGGATGTCTGGGTCGATTTGAATCTCAAACCAACAATAAAATAATGTGGGGTTTTTGGTTTGTTTGGTTTTAGTAAGAATATGTCCCATGCATTACATGAGTACATGCTACCCTTACGAAAGACTCCAGTTCTCATGGGATGAAGGAAGTTGACTATAGTCCAAGTCGATTATTTGGAACTATACACACAGAACAATGAAACCCATCAAACCGTTTTGGGAAAGGGGGAGAGGACAGAGGAGGTGACTTAAAAAAATTAAATATCAGATGAGCAGTAAAGGTCAAAAGCTATGTACACATGACCATATAGATGATGCTAAGTGAAATGAACCCTAAGAGATGGACACAAGAGATCTTTCTTTTTTGTTGTTTTTAATGTACTATGCAATTTTTTATTTCCTTTGTATGTTCTTCCCCTTATGGTATATCCCCTGTTGTCACTGTACTTGATTTTGGTACCCTGCATTTTGTATATTGTATATACATTTGTCTAATTTGGGGAGGGGAAGGGGAATAACAAAATGCTGAAACAAGGACACAGGATGATCCATTGCAACAATGAGACCCACAAGACAGTCTATTGGAAATGAACTTTAAAACTTTGGGGTGGGGGGAGGGAGGGAGGTGAGGGCGGGAAGGGACAGTGGGAAAATAACAAGGGAGGGGGTAACAATGCTCAATAAGAAATGTACTCATTACCCCACTCATGTAACTGAAACCGCTCCTTACAGCATCTTTACAATAAAATAACATTTAAAAAATTAAAGTCCTCATTGTTTCTCTGAAACTGGAAGTCAATTTGGGTGACCTCCATCTTAACTGGCTAGGAGGGACAGGGGTGGCGTGGTGAAGCTAGGATTTCAGCCCAGGCCTGACTGCCGGTGTGGGCTGCAGGCTAGGGTGAGCAGGTGGAGGGAATCAGAAGGCATAGGCATTCAGAAGGGCTGGGATTCTGTCACCCCAATCACAGGGAAATCAGTGTTTGGGGCTTGCGGCTAGTGGGGTGGAGATGGCTCTGACCACCTGACCCCTTTCACACTTGTGGCAAGTCCTCTACCTCGGACCCGCATCCCTGCTTCCCTGGTTATTTGCTCTAAGGAAAACCGTGGGTATTAATCTCGAAATAGCAACAGGTTGAAGGTCATCTCAGCTCAGCTCTGTGGGACCCAAGGTCTGGCCTTCCAGATAGGGCTCGCCGGAGAGCCTTGCGCCTGCGCACTGCACTCGGTGCGAAGCACACCACTCACCTCTACGCGCATGCGTCCGCACATCCACTGTTTACTCAGTGCTATGCACACGAGTCCATGCATCCCCTGTGTGCTCAGGGATACACGCATGCGCCTACACACACACACAGAGTGCACGCCAGTCTGCTGTGCGCATGCGTCCACACATCCCCTGCGCACTCAGGGCTCTGCACATGTGTTGCGTCTGCTCTGCGCATGACCGTCCCTGAAAGGCGAGGTGTGCACATGCGCACTCAGAAAGCGCGGGAAAGGCGCGACGCCCGGTTGGAGGCTGTGGAGGCCGCTCGCGGCCGTTTACTCCCATGGCTTTTGCGCCCATGGGCCCCGAGGCCTCGTTCTTCGAGGTCCTGGACAGGCACCGGGCCTCTCTGTTGGCCTCCCTGAGAGCAGGCGGCAGGGAGACCCCCGTCCGGGGGCCCCGGCTGGTCTCTAGGTACTACAGCACGGCGGGGTGGCCCAGGGCGGGGTGGCCCAGGGCGGGGTGGCCCAGGGCGGGGTGCCCCGGGGCCGGGACTAGCCGCGGGCCCAGGCAGCGCCCCACGGGAAGGCCTGCACCCCAGAGGGCCTTCCTACGGCCCCTCGCCTTTCAGCCTCCCACCCTTACTTGAAGAGCCTGCTGAAAGGCCCCCCACATGCCGGCCTCTAGAATGTTCTAGGAGCCCCTGGGCCTAACGCTAGGGAGTTGGGGACTCAGGATGGCTTCACTTCTGGTGGTTTGTGGTTTGTTTTTTTGATATATGTTTTGGGGTGTTTTTTGGGGGGTAATATTAGTTTGAACTCAAGACCTTTCCCTCACTAGGAGCCATGCCTCAGCCAGTATTTATCATGTTTTGTTTCCTTTATTTTTTTTTCTGGGGGAGGGGGGTCGTGGGTCTTGAACTCTGGGCCTGAACACTGTCCCTCGGCTCAAGGCAAACGCTCTACCACTTGAGCCACAGCGCCACTATCCGTTTTCTGGTGGTTTATTGGAGGGAGGAAAGTCTCATGGACTTTTTTGCTTGGGCTGGCTTTGAACCACAATCCTCAGATCTCAGCCTCCTGGGTAGCTAGGATTACAGGTGTGAGCCACCGGCACCCAGCTTCCTTAATTTTTTATTTTTATTTTTGCCAGTCTGGGTCTGAACTCTAGGCCTGGGCGCTGTCCCTCAGCTCTTCAGCTCAAGGCAAACGCTCTGCCACTTGAGCCACAGCACCACTTCTGGCTTTTTCGGCTTATGTGGTGCTGAGGAATCAAAGCCAGGGCCTCATGCATGCAAGGCAAGAGCTCTACCATTGATCCACTTTCCCAGCCCCCCTTAATTTTTAAAAATAACAGTTTTTAGCTTCAAAAGCTAGTACCAGGTGCCAAAGGCTCGTGCCTGTAATCCTACTTACTGGAGAAGCTGAAATTTGAGGATCATGGTTCAAAGTCAGCCCAGGCAGGAAAGCTGATGAGACTCTCATCCAATTAAACACAAAAATCCAGAAATAGAGCTGTGGCTTAGTAGACTGTCAGCCTTGAATGGAAAAAGCTAAGGGAAAGCACACAGGCCCTGAGTTCAAGTCCCAGTACACGCACACACACACACACACACACACACTTCACAGGATGTTTCAGTGAGGGGAGAGAAAATAGGGAAAGGAATGTTGTAACTCTGCTTAGTAATAGTGGTTTTCTCACAGTTAGCAAAGACAGCAACACACATCTTAAGTAAATGGAGCAATTTGTTTAAAAATCACCTGGAGACTCTGTTATTCAAGGTAGAATTAACTACAGAAAATGTGTTTACACATTTATGTACTTATTTAAAACTTCCTCCTTTATTAGTTACTTACTTAAAATGCCTCATTACTTTCCTTTATCTGTTTTTGTCTACCAAGTTTTTCATTCTAATTTCAATGTTTTTAAGCCTAGAGCAACTACTCAAAACCCCAAAAGAGCTCATGACTATAATCCTAGCTACTCAGGAGATGAGATCTGAGGATTACAGTTTGAAGCCAGCCTTGGCAGGAAACTCAGTGGGACTTTTATCTCCAATAAACTACTCAAAAAAGCTGGAAGTGGCACTGTGGTTCAAGCGGTAGAGTGAGCACTCAGACGCAGAGTTCAAGCCCCAGGACTAGCATAAAACAAAAAAATGGGAATGTGGCTCAGTGGTAAAGTGCTTCCCTAGCATGCATGAAGTTCTAGGTTCTATTCCTCAGTATCACAAACAGAAAAAGCCAGAAGTGGCACTGTTGCTCAAGTGATAGAGTATTAGCCTTAAGTAAAAGAAACTCATAGACAGTGCCCAGGCCCTGAGTTCAAGCCCCAGGTCTGAAAAAGAAAAAAAAAAAAAAAGACAAATCTTTACAAAAGCATTTCGTTTGAGGGAGTACTCCTTCATTACCCTGTAGAGACATATTGATTTGCTTAGCTCTTAAATCTGTTTAAGTCCTCCCTGAACCTTTTTTCTTCATCTCTTGATATTAGAAAACACTAAATTTTTTTTGGGGGGGAGGGTCCGGTCGTGGGGCCTGAACTCTGGGCCTGGGCGCTGTCCCTCAGCTCTTCAGCTCAAGGCTAGCGCTCTACCACTTGAGCCACAGCGCCACTTCTGGCTTTTTTCTTTTGCTTATGTGGTGCTGAGGAATCGAACCCAGGACCTCATATGTGCAAGGCAAGCACTCTACCACTGAGCCACCTTCCCAGCCCCAGGAAACACTAAATGTTTTAAAGTTGATTTTCTAATACCTAAGTTTTCAGTAAAAGTTCTGAAATTGCCACAGAAACGAAAACTGCTAGATTTAGGCTGGTTCCCCGATCAGACCATATGCTCATGTTCTGACAGAACAACATATTTTGAAGCTGATGGTTTGTGAAATTACCAGTCAGCTGACAGAAAACTGGGCTCAGTGTTAATGTTCTTCTGTAAAGTGTCCTCAGAATTGGCAAGACAACCACTTAGTGCAGAATTCACATTTATTCTTTCTGTGTTGATAAACTTCTTTCTATTTGAGCCACAAAATTCAAAAAGGGCCAATTCTAAAGCATGAGATCAGATGGGACCATGTGCTACAACAGCTTCTTTTAGAATTCTTTTATATCACATTTTTTGGGAGAGAAATTCAAAGCCATATATCTTTTTCTCTTGACACTGGGGTTTGAAAGCAATGCCTTGTGCTTTCATCATTTTACATTCACTAGTATTTCACGACAGTACATCTGTATTTAACTTCAGGTAAATTAAAGTAGGTATGACTAGATAAAAATGTATTTGCAAATTGTTTTAATAAGTTAATGCAAAAGAGCACAACTCTTCCAAATGTTAATCTGAGAAATAAAATTGCTTTATAAGTAACCATTGTAAATACAGTTGTTTTAAGGTGCTATTGAGGTTAGGATTTAGTGGGAGAGATCATTATTCACATGGATTAAGAACAACTAATGACCCTGCTGCCAGTAATCCTAGATACTCTGGAGGCTGAGATCAGAGGATCACAGTTTGGAAGCAGCTGGGCAAAAAAGTTTGTGAGACTCTTATCTCCAATTAGCCACCAAAAAGCTAGAAGTGGAGTCATGGCTCTAGTGGTAGAGTGCCAGCCTTGAGCACAAAAGGTAAAGAGCAGTAGACAGGTTGAGTTCAAGCCCCAGGACACACACACACACACACACACAGGAGAAGCCAGGTTTGGTTGTGCATAGTTATAATCCTAGCACTCCAGAGGCTGAAGCTGGACAATCTTGAGTTCTAAGCCAGCCTGAGCTACAGGGAGAGTCTCTATCTCAAAAAAATAAAAAGAGAGAAAGAAAAAAAAGCAATTTTAGTATTGACCTGGGGAAACGTTTTATGTTGTAAAGCCTAATTTGTCATTAAAATCAAATCTTGGTTTGTTTATTGTTTCAGTTCTGAGGTTCTTGAATCTATAGAAAATACCATTCAAGATGTAATCACAAGCCTGGCCAGAAACGAAGCACCTGCCTTCACAATAGAGAACAGATCCACCTGGGAGAATATAAAGTGGGCATTTTGCTGCTTTGTTTTTACCTGCATTGTCAGCATCAATCAATGTGTTTGAGTTAGAGGTCAAGTCTGATTTTGTACTTTTTATGGACTTTGACATGCTAAAAAAAAATGGAGGAAGATTAAAAAGAATGTACCAGCTGGGCGCCAGTGGCTCAAGCCTGTCATCCTAGCCATTCAGGAGGCTGAGATCTGAGGATCATGGTTCAAAGCCAGCCAGGGCAGGAAAGTCTGTGAGACTCTTATCTCCAATAAACCACCAGAAAACTGGAAGTGGCGCAAGTGGTAGAGTGCTTGTCTTGAGCTGAAGAGCTGAGGGACAGTGCCCAGGCCCAGAGTTCAAGCCCCATGATGACCTTAAAAAAAAAAAAAGAAAGAAAGAATGTACCATATAGAAAGCTGTACTAACTAAAAGTAGGAAGGAAACAGGATAGCTGGGTGCTGCTGGCTCACATCTGTAATCCTAGCTACTTAGATATGAGGGTCATGGTTCGAAGCCAGCCTGTGCAGGAACATTCCTGAAACCGTTGTTTTCAATAAACCACCAGAAAACTGGAAGTGATGCTGTAGCTCAAAGTAGTAGAGTGCTAGCTTTGAGTGAAAAGAGCTCAGGGACAGCACCCAGGCCCTGAGTTCAAGCCCCACAGCTGACCAAATATATATATATGGCTAATGAAAAAGTTAGCAACAAAAAGTGGAACATTGCAAGAGGTTAGAAGCAAAACCAGGCACTGAGTTCTCCAGCACTGGGGGTGGGGGCGGGGTGGAGGGGAGGTAGGCACAGTCACCTCTGCTGCAGAAGTAAACCACTGCTCAGGGCACTGAAGGGAAAGCATCTTGAGTGGGAGACTCCACCAGGCACTCTCCTGAACATGGGCCCCTACTTGGCCCACAGCCAAGCCCTCAAACCTAATGATACCGTTTGTTTTTCAGCCCGTTGAAAGTTGAAAAACAGCAGGGATGGCTTAGAGTTTGTAACTGTCACAGGAACAGTGAAAAGAATATTAAAGGCTCCTCAGTCACTGAGTATTGTTTTCAATATAACTAATACAAACTGGGTATTCCCGTGTCATTTTTGCTCCCTTTTGAAAGATGGATTGCATCCAACTTAAAAGCGGCTGACACCTAGTTTCTTTGCCTGGTGTCTTCTGCCACCTTCAGGAGAGGCTTGGCGGGTCCACATAATAATCTAGTATCAGTGGTTATTTCATGGGATGTCATTTTGCTACAAATAAAGTACCTCAACATTTATCATTATTCAATTGAGTCACATTGGTAAGTGGGTACATTAATGTTTAAAATGCAATAAAGTATGAAATGCATAAATCATTCCACATGCACTGTCTTCTAATATGGTAGACACACACCAGCCCCATATGCAAACATACTTAGCTTAGACACCCTATCTTAGTTACCTGTGAGTTATAAAGCTAATTATGTAATTGCCATGTGTCTCTAAAGCTTCTGTGGGATTTACATGCCATGCAGAGGGGGATGTTGTGTGCACTGTGTGTCCAGAGGTGAGGCTGTTTTCATTTTATTCCTTTGCTTTAAACAAAACAGGTTTGAAGATTCTGTGGGTCTTCAGATGGTGTCTCATTGTACCACAAAGAAAATCAAAAGTGACTCACCAAAATCAATTCAAAAATTTGGTAAATCTTTCTTAGCATCTGTAATAAAGAAGAATAAATGAATGTAGGCTTATTCTAGACTTTAGTTGTTCTGAGTTCAGTAATTTTACTTTTTTTTTTTTGTTCTGGTCGTGGGGCCTGAACTCTGGGCCTGGGCGCTGTCTCTCAGCTCTTCAGCTCAAAGCTAACGCTCTACCACTTGAACCACAGCGCCACTTCCGGCTTTTTTCTTTTTGCTTATTTGGTGCTGAGGAATTGAACCCAGGGCCTCATGCATGCAAGGCAAGGGCTCTACCACTGAGCCACCTCCACAGCCCAGTAATTTTACTTTTATAGAACAACTTAAAATAATTGTCTAGACTTTTGCCTTAGTAATAACAATGGAAGTAGATTTCATTGTTCCATTCCTAAGTAAATATATTTCTCAAATAAATTATTATTATTATTATTATTATTATCATTTAGTGGGGAATTATTCTCTCTGCTTTGCTGGTTATGGAATGGTTAGATTCCTCAGGCAGTGAGTCTGTATTTAACCCCTCTCTTCTGGGAAGATCATTTTAAAGGCATTATGGACAGTAATTGGGGATTTTTTAACTAAAAAATTTAAGGGCAATATCTTTTGAATTACCAGGGGAAATTAAAATGAATTGTTTGCTTTATTTTCCAGCTCTAATTCTTAAAATATTGTCCATGATTTATAAATTAGTGCAGAGCAACACTTATGCAACCAAAAGGTAAATATATTGTTCTGGAAATCCACCTTTAAATGCAGCATGAGATTTATTTGGATTGGTTTTCATTGTATGCTTTGGAAAAAGTCATGTAAGATTAGATATGGGGCAATAAATTACTTTCCATATAGGTTGCATTTTACGGGGTTGATACTTTCTTCAAATGCCACTGTGATACTTGTCCTATTTAATTAATTAAAACACATATTTTAAATCTCCATAGAGACATATACTACACTGATAGTCAACTCTTTGGTAAGCAGGCGGTTGTGGACAACATTATAGATGACATCTCATGTATGTTAAAGGTGCCGAGGAGGAGTCTGCACATCGTAAGTCGTACTTCAAGCAAAACATTTCTCTAAAACAAAATGTGAATTAAAACTGGGATAAATAAATGAAAGCAGTTTTTGCCTTTTTATGTGAAAGTGGCATTTTCACACTATATCTTTTCTCATAAACTTAATTAATCTGTTGCCACTTTAGCCTTGGCTAAATGGATCCAAACAGGTGGATTAACAAATATTCAATACTTCAAAGTATGGAATTAGTTTCTCCTGCATCTCTAAAGTCCAGTCTGAGCTAAAATGAAAGTGACGCTAAAATGAAAGTGACTCCGCAGGTGGGTATGAGCAGGGTATTTAGCAGCACAAACGTAGAGGGGAAAGCTCTCAGTAATTTTCCTACTTCTTCCAGCTATCCACATCCAAAGGGCTAATTGCTGGCAATTTAAGATACCTGGAGGAAGATGGCACCAGGGTGAACTGTACCTGCGGTGCCACGGTGAGTGGCTTTCCCATCTCACACCTCAGCCCCCAACCGCCCCTCCCATTAGAAATGCACTTTATTTGTTTGTGATGTAACTTGGACCTTAAGATTTTAAAATATAACTGAGGGACGAGTAGGCAATCATCTACAGGGTTATGTATCAATCACATCATTTAAAAATATGCCAGCAGTCATCTTAAAATAAGAAGACACATTCCCTTTGAAAATGGATTGCTTCTTTCAGGCAGATTGCCTGTGGCATGACTGTTTCAGAAGGGTTGCTGTGTCATCTCCATAAAAATGCCAGGTTCTGGGGCTGGGAAGGTGGCTCAGTGGTAGAGCGCTTGCCTGGCATGCATGAGGCCCTGGGTTTGATTCCTCAGCACCACATAAGCAAAAAGAAAAAAGCCAGAAGTGGCGCTGTGGCTCAGTGGTAGAGTGCTAGCCTTGAGCTGAAGAGCTGAGAGACAGCGCCCAGGCCCAGAGTTCAGGCCCCACGACCAGACCCCCCCCCCAAAAAAAAATATGCCAGGTTCTGAAACGAACACATTTCACCAAATCTCTGGCTGGGCTCTGATGCTTAGAGAGCCGGCAGGCAGCACTAATCACTGAGCTCGCAGAGAAGATGGGGTGGGGAAAGGGACCTCCATGAGATCTTGCATCGCCATGCTCACTGCCCTTCTACAGTTTTGCTCCTTAATCCACATACCTATAAAGCCTCCAGAAATGCTGTAAGCTGGTGTGTGTGTGTGTGTGTGTGTGAGAGAGAGAGAGAGAGAGAGAGAGAGAGAGAGAGAGAGAGTGAGAGAGAGAGAGAGGGTGAGAGAAGAGGAGGGGATATGAGGGGTGGATCTAGTTCCTGCTGCTGGCACGGACAAATGAAAACAGAACTTTGTAATAAATTTTAACAACAGACTTTATACTTTTGTCTTGGAAATCAAAATTGTCTGTTTTTTTAACTTAGGCCACTGCTGTGCCATCTAATATCCAAGGAATTCGGAGTATCCTTTAAGTAGGAAAACTATGTAAACTTGTGGAATGTTCCTCTGTTCCTTTGACAAAGCAGGCCTTCCTAACATGTAAGAGACAAGTTACACCCCAGGGCCATCAAGAGGAACATATGGGGCCTTCTTCAGACCTCTCAGGAGTCACCATAAGGCAGAAGAGAGATAGCTAAGTAGATATGTTTATATATTTGAAGATAAAAGTGAAAGTATTTCCAGCACTGGTGTTACTGGGTAGGAGACTGAAATACTCTGCCTTCAGTGTTTCAGCCTTAGCTTGTCAGATCTAATTACGGATGCAAAGTTTCTGTTAATTGTAGAAAAAGATGCAACATTTCAACGGCTCCTCGATGACAACTTTTGCAGTAAACTGTCTCCATGCATCATGGTCACGGTAGAGTATCTACCTCCCTTTGTGTCCACGACTCACACACCACTGAGCTGTTTATGACATCACCTCTGGGCCTGGGGCAACATTCTGGTTCCGGTATAAAGCATTGCTTGTGTCGAAGACCAGGAATGTCTAGGGTGTTAGCAAACCTTCTCAAGCTGACTGTGATGGAAGACGGGCCCTCATCAGTCGATTAATTGATTTTTGTCAGTCATGGGCTTGAACTCAGGGGCTGGGGTTGAGCTTTTCGCTCACGGCTAGCACTCTACCACTTTGAGCCACAGCTCTACTTCTAGTTTTCAGGTGATTAATTAGAAATAAGAGTCTCACAGACTTTCCTGCCGGGGCTGGCTTTGACCCACAATCCTCAGATCTCAACCTCCTGAGTAACTAGGATTATGGGCATGAGCCACCAGCACCTAGCTCCTGATTTTATTTTTATTTTTCATGCCAGACATAGGGCTTGAACTCAGCACCTGGGTGCTGTTCCTGAGCTTTATTGCTCAAAGCTAGCACTCTACAACTTGAGCCACAACTCCACTTCTGCCTTTTTGGTGGTTAAGATATTAAGACTCCCACCAACCTTCCTGCCTTGAATCTAGCCAGGAATCATGATCCTCAGATCTCAGCCTCCTGAGTAGCTAGGATTACAGGTGTGAGCCACTGGGACCTGGCCTGGGACCTGATTTTTAAGTTCCTGTGATTTTCTGATAGTGGGGGACTTTCCCTGGGCCCGCGGTGTCTCCCTCACACCACCCCCACATTACTATTGGTGTTAGCCCTGGGGCTTCTCCCTGTTCTTCTTCCACAGGTAACGTCATTAACTCATCAGAGGAGCTTGCCTTTAAAAACATAAATGTGCAAAAAACGAGCAAAGAACATGAAAGCGTATGCGGACTCGTGTGGCCAGAAGGACTGGAATTGTTGCATCGCTTGGCAAAGGCCGTGTCCCAGCTGGCCCACCTGCTGCAACCCTGCAGACTGCACATGAGGAACCATTACTGCTCACAGTGCTGCAGGCTGTGAGCCCCAGACCAAGGCACTGCAGGTTCTGTGTCTGCTGGGGGGCCGTTTGTTGGCTCCTTAGACTGTTCCCTTCTCGTTGAGCCCGAGCCCCCTACAGGGCTTCAGGATGAGATGGGAGAAGCCCATAAAGCTGGGCTATCCTTGAACCTTCTGCCAGAGGAGGGGAAAAGGAAGGGGAGAGGGGAGGGGAGAGGGAGGGGAGAAGAGATAGCTTAGGGTGTGCTGGCCGCTACAGAGCCAGAGTGTGGCCAGGCTTCACTCTTTCATGCTCTTTGCTCAGCCTTTTGCTTTGATACAACTGTGCTAAAGCCTAGTTCTTTGAAGAAGCAAAGCTCTTCTACTTAAAATTCCACGGGTTTATGAGATTAACAGGAAATATGGCATTGTGGGAGCAGCCAGGAGAGCAGTCTAGAGAGGAAGCAGATGTTGGGTGACCCCATGGGGCTGTGGAAGGCCTGGCCAAATTCCCAGGTACACCTGACCTCTGCAGAAAAAGCAGGTGCTCATGGTGGCTTTTGAGCTGTCCAGGGGAGAAAGTGAGTAGGATTAGCAAGGGCCTGGCGGGAGGGGTGGGCACTCTCTCCCACAAGCACGGAGGGGGATATAGTTCAGGGAAAGGACAGAATTGGGAATGCTTCATAAGGATTTGGAGGACCTGATGTGAGAAGCAAGTCAACATGGCCCTATGTGTTGCACCACACAGCTGTCCCTGCTGATCGCCATGGGGCTGCACACAGCTCTTCCCGGGAGGAAGTTCTGAGTGTGATCTTATCCATGTGATCCCAGTGGTCAGCAGGAACTCCTAGTCCCAAGAGTCAAAAGGGAAATGCAGACTGAGAGCCCAGAAGCAGAGGCTGGGGTTGGGTCCTTGAAATGGATGGTGGCTCTGTGGTTGGGTCCTGTGGCAGGCTGTAGCCAGCATTGTCTGCTTTCACCCCCTGACTAACCAGGGTGGCAGAACTATTACAGACAAGAGCTGCCACCTGGGATAGCCCTGGGCCTTTGAATCCCACCCACTACTAACACAGAGGCCTGGCTCATAGTTGCATTTGAATGAAGAGAAGACATAGGGGTGATCATAAAGATCCCACATTTTTAAAGGGAGAGGTCACACACTGCCCCTCAGACCTTGTCTGAGGACATGTGCGCACAGCCAGGGGCAGAGCTATTGTGGTACCCTTCCTCTTAGTTTTGGTTATGGTATTTCCACACATGGTTCCTCTGTTGTTTGTAGGGCAAAGGCGTCCCTGATCTGAACACGAGACTCTTAGTGAAGAAGCTGTGGGACACATTTCACATGCCTATGCTCACGCTGGTGGATGCTGACCCCCACGGTAATGCAGCCCTGGACCACCCACAGCAACACTCAGAACGAAGCCTATTTCTGCCTGGGGCTTCTGCTCTGAGAATACGTTCATACAATATTGTTACAGCATATTATTCAACTCCGAGGCTGATTATCTAAGACAATTTATGGTTGCGTTCACCATATTAATTGAGAGCCATAAGGTTTGCCACTGGTAACGTCAATACAAATAAAGATCATAGTTGCTAAAGTTTGAAGGGGCAAATGATCTAATCTGTAGTACATGAGCTCATTCTAAAGTAAACCTTTTTTAACAGGCATAGAAATAATGTGCATCTATAAATATGGATCTATGGTAAGTATAAAAAGTAGGTTTTTTTCATTACTTAGATATTTTACATTCATTGATGGCTTTTCCACTCTCTAATAAGCCAAATACCCTCCCACCCCAAATCCTCAGGGATCCAATGGCCTCTGTGTCAGTCTGTGCTTCAAAGTGGCTCTGAAGCCAGCTCCAAGCGTCACCAGTGTGACTAGACAGTAGAGAGCCACTCCCAGTTAGTCACATTGTCACGCTGCCTCTTCCACACTCCTGCAGCCACTGCAGGCCCATGATCTTCCCCACCAAAATATGCTCTGAATATTCAGGTAGGCTTGAATTGTGACCTTGCCTTTTCTCCCACCACAAAGAAGGGTAAATACCACTGAATTCTGCTCACTAAACTGTGCAGTGCCCACAGCAGTGGCTCTCAGGCCAGTGGCTTCGGCAGAACTGCACATATCTGTTCCCACCCGACCTGCTGAATCGGAGTCTCCATGTGACTCTGAGGCCTGGCCACATTGGCAGATGGTGAAAGGGTGTAAGGTACGGTGATCTCCATACCTTGCCAGCAGTGACCAGAGCAGTCATTTGCTGTTTTGCTTCAGAGGAAATGAATATAGTTTAACACTTAGTCCTCCTTAATAGAATTTGGTTGCAAAAACAGGTATGTTGGATTTTCTACATGTTAAGTAACCTCACCTAATGCGCATCTGCTCTTTATTTCAGTCCATGTCCTTCGAAGCCCACAATCTCACAGTGCCTGCTATTAGATGGCTTGGTCTCCTCCCTTCTGATATTAAAAGGTCAGATGGGGTAGCAGAACCGGGGCATTTGAAATGGTGATTCACTGGGGTTCTGAACAATAAGCCGATCAGCACTGTAAAGAGCAGCACGTAATTTTTTTTATGGATATTGTCCACTATGAATCAGGATCATATAACTATGTGTTAATTCACTAGAGCTTCTATTTCTACCATTAAAATACTTTCAATGAGTTTGGTTAGTTTTGCATTCAGCAAGCTATAAAGTGTTTTTTCTAACTCCTGTGGGTAAAACATTTTGTTCATTTTTATACCTAAAGTATAATATATAGATTGTAAGTAATCAAGAGAACACTATAGGATTCAATTTGATCACACATTTAAACTCTTAACTTCATAAGAATCACATTTTACAATTGATAAAGTTTGAAAAGGCAAAGTATAGCAAATCGAATATCTCTTCTCATTATGGGAAACATATCCATAGGTAGCAACAAGAAAATCAATGAGAGCTGAGCTGCTTTGCTCTCCCACATCATTTCCTGTTTTCACAAAGGTATGATCTCACCCACCAGTTACTTTCTCATCTGCTTTGTGCCACATGACACCGTGTGGTTACTCTTGCATTCCTTTCTGTGTCATTTCACCTTGATATCTCCTATGGCTGAGTACCAACTGGACTGACCACTGACACATCTGTGTGTTTAGCTGCTCATCCCCACCAGAGTCTTAGTCTAAGAACTGTGGGGACAGTATCCACGTTTGCTTCTGAAGAGAGTAATGCAGTCTCTGCTCTGCTAATGTGAAATGTAAAACAGTTTCTTGTTGTTTTGATTTGCCACTGAGATTTCTTTCATCAGTGTGTGATCCCCAGTTTTGGGTGCTAACTTCCTAAAGCAGGTATGTGAACAGTCACAAAATAAGAGTCCCAGAGAAGATGTGTCCTTAGATTTAGAGTTTTTACCTCCAGTGAATTAAGGTTTTATCCAATGCAGTAAGTGTGTCATGGCGGTGACGTGCTTTTGTGCAGACCATTTCTAACACACATTCAGGACAAGGGGTTTGATCAGTGTCAAGGTAGAAGATCTGGAGAAATAGCTGTGTTACCACATTCCAGCAGCACCCTCAGAAGCACCTGAAGAAACATGCCACTAGCTGGGTGTTGGTGGCACACGCCTGTAATCCTAGCTATTCAAAAGGCTGAGATCTGAGGATCAAGCGTCAAAGCCAGCCCGGGCAGGAAACTCCATGAGACTCTTCTCAATAAACCACCAGAAAACTGGAAGTAGTGCTGTGGCTCAAGTGGTAGAGTATTTGTCTTGAGCTGAAGAGCTGAAGGACAGTGCCCAGGCCCAGAGTTCAAGCCCCACAACTGACAAAAAAAAAAATGCCACCCAGGGACACACTGACAGCCACACAAACATGCTGCAAGAGGTGCTTCCCCTCCCCTTCACCCACACTGTCCTCCAGCCCATCACAAGGACATTGAAAAAGGCCAGAAATATAGGATGTGTGACATCAAAGAGGGGATGACATCACAAGTCCCAGATCTTTCCTGGTCTATTTGTGTGTGTTTGCGAGTGTGTGTGTGCATGTATGTGTGCATGTGTGTGTTGCTTAAGGCTAGTACTCTACCACTTGAGCCATAGCTCACTTCTGGCTTTTTTTTTGGGGGGGGGCGCTAGTTTATTGGAGTCTCACAGACGTTCCTGCCCAGGCTGGCTTCAAACCACAATCCTCAGATCTTAGTCTCTTTAATAGCTAGGATTACAACACCTAGCTTCATGTTCTATTTTTAAAGCACAAACCAAGATAAAATGACATTCCCTTTTGTCTACTTTAAAACTCGCTTGGTGTCTGTGACTGTGTGGGGTGCTTACAAGGAAGAGAACAGACCAGTATCTACCTTCCAAATCCTCCATGAATGACAGACGTTTAGTCTGGGAGAGGAAGCTAACATCCCTCAGAGAATCTCAGCTGCTGGCCATGTGCCCTGGAGCTCATGGCCCCAGGAGCAGGAAGTTCACAGGGCCTCACTCAGGCCTCACTCATGTACTGGTGTCAAGATACTTGATGCCAGTGCTGTGGGTATTTGTTCAGTAACCAGTGTCTGTCTGCCTGTCACCATCCCATGAGTCTAACAAGAAGGAAATTTAAAAAATCAAATCTATTTACTATGGAAACTTGCTGGTATGGGAGATCCCAAATGGTGGATTTCAGAGGAAGATCAGTGCTGATTTTCTTCTATGTTTTTTTTTTTCCTGAGCTTCCTGATACAACATATATATATGTGTTATAGAAACACCTTGATGGGTTAGCAGCATGGCTCAGGTGGTAGAGCACCAGTCAATGAGCAAAAGCCTCAGATACCAAGTTTGAGTCCCAATCTTGGACCAAAGAAGGGAGGGAGGGAGGGAGGGAGGCAAAGAAAGACAGACCTACCTTACTATCACTGATTTTTTTCCCCTCTGTTTTCCAGGCTAAATATACCGAAAAACAGTTTGATCCCACTGACAAAGCATGACCATATGAAACTCAACAGTATTCTGAAAAGACCTTATGTTAACTGCCAACCACTCTGGAGAAAAGAAGTAACTGACGTTTTGCTTTCAAATCAAGTACTGGGTGTTCAGTTGTCTTTTACTTTACTAGTGGCTATTCACGCAATACTTCAACAGTATTCTTGAAATTTTGTATAAGAATGTATGTTAGTGTGGTTTTGTAGTAAATAATTGTTGAAATTGAGTGCTGATAGATGAGTTGAGCTGGATGGAGCTGTCTAGCATACCTACCCTTTGTCAGTGTCAGCATCCTAGTTTATGGGATTAAAAGGAAGAAGAAAACAACCATAAAAGTACCAGACCATTCCTGGTTATTCAAGGCATCATAGTAAGTATGATATGTTTACCTGATGATATGTTTTACCGACAGTAGTTCTAGAATATTCTGGCTGGCTCTAATGACTATTGCCTTGTGGTTCTTCACCATGACTAAATTTGATGAATTGACCACACTGTAGCAGAGAGCTCTGGTCTGTCTGACTCTGTTTTATGTTACTGGCAGATGGAAATGATGGCAGAGTTGAACATGAAGGCAGAAATCCAAGCTTTGACCTTCCTGTCATCAGATTATCTTTCCAGAGTATACTTGCCCAACAAACTGAAATTCGGAGGATGGCTATAAGTGAGCACTGGAAGAATTTGCCACTGCTGGCGGATTTCATCTGTCTGCTTTAATTGGTAAAGACACTGTAGAGAGAATATAACATCCTAATTTTGTAAATAAAATAATTTCTATTAATTATGTTTTGCTAAACCAAGTGGTCTATTAGAATGCTCTAATATGTTCTCTAGGAGTTTTAATTTTACCCTCTGTAGAAACTGAATTTTATTTTGTTCTAGATTAAGCTAAAATATATTTGATGTTGACTTTTCAATTTTGTTTGGAAAAAATATTTGGTGTCATACAAGATGATGAAATGTTTTCTCTACTTTCTATGGTACAACGTATATCAGGTAGAAGTATCTTCTTAGTAGCAAAAGACTAATAATCTGAATTTGCGTAGGTACAGGGAATTGGGTGCTCAGGTCTCACCTGCATTGTGTGGCTTGTATAGGGCCAGCCCTGCCCACCATTTCATTGAAAGACTAGTGAAATCCAGTAGGAACAGACATGGGAGGTGGCCGAGCCTTTAGTGTATGGTTTACTTTGTTTTGAGCATCCTTTTTATCGGTGATACTGACATTTTTCTCCAGAGTGACAGGCATTATTTCCCACATTCAGGCCTTTCTCTAGCGTCTAGGTCTAGAGAAGTCAGGGCATCTTCAGCCTGCTTGCCATCCCAGATCACAGAGGGGTCTTCTCAGGGCGAGCCTCATCCGTGCCACGCCAACGTGCTCACCTCTGTGAGCCTCCAAACTTGGGGGGTTCACCCTAGAGAATGCATCATTTGTGATAGTAGGAGACTGAATTTGCACTTTTACCTAGGGGGAGGTGGGTACAGAGGTCTCAAGTTTTAATAACTGTAAGACATTGCTTCTGTAGATCTATTTTAGTTTTGCTAGAGTGAGTTTTATGACTTTATTCTGAATCTCGGGAATTTTTCATCTTAAGCAGGACTAGGAGGGTGTGGAAGTATGGCACTGTTGAGTTGGTTTATGAGGATTCACAGTAACTAAATACCATTTGTGGAAATTTTACATAAGCTTGTCACCACTTCCACATCTCATTTCATTCTCCAAGAATCTTGTGACCGCTCATAGTCTGCTGGTGGCAGCACTAACGTCCAAAGCCACAATAATCCCCTGCCTTAAGAACAGGGCCCGCTCATGATACAAAGGTCTAAGCTGGGCACTGTTGGCTCACGCCTGTAATCCTAGCTACTCAAGGGACTGAGATCTGAAGCTCACGGTTCAAAGCCAGCCTGGGCAAAAAAGTCCATGAAACTCTTATCCACTAAATGACCCCCCCCCCAAAAAAAAAGCCAAAAATGGAGTTGTGGCTCAGTGGTAGAGTACTAGCCTTGAGCACAAAAGCTCAGGGACAGCACACAGGTCCAGAGTTTAAACCTCAGGACCTGAAAAAAAAAAAAAAAAAAAAAGGTCCAGTGCAAAATGTAGGTGGGAGGGGCTTGCTAGGCAGTTCTGACTTCCAGGACAGCAGCATCAAAGAAGCAAGCCCCGCCTCCGGGGCCCACAGTCCTGGTGACTGCCCAGAACACACCACCTGGCCAGGGTAACATGAAGGCAACACAGCAATAAAGTGCTTAATTAGACTCATAGAGCAGACATTTTTTCTTTTCTTTCTCTTCCTTCCTTCCTTCCTCTCTCTCTCTCTCTCTCTCTCTCTCTGTCTCTTTCTTTCTTTCTTTCTTTCACAATCCTGGGGCTTGAACTCAGGGCCTAGGCACTGTCCCCGAGCTTCTTTTGCTCAAGGCTAGCACTCTACCACTTGAGCCACAGCACCACTTGTGGCTTTTTCTGTTTCTGTGGTACTAAGGAATTGAACTCAGGGCTTCATGCTTCCTAGGCAAGCTCCCTACCACTAAGCCTCCTTTCCAACCCAGAGCAGACATTTTTCTAGGCACTGTGCAAACAATTATTCATTCCACCTTCACATCCCCTTGAGCCTAGAAACTTTCACTGTGATCACCACTTCATACATGAGAAAATAAAGGCCTAGAGAAGTTAAATAACTTCTCTGAGGTCACATAGCCACTAAGCAAGGGAGCCAGGGCCCACTGCCCATGTGTGGCCTGGGCACACTGTGCTGGGGGAGGGGGATGTGGGGGACTGTGCTTCTCCACCCCCTCCCCTACTCCACCTCTGCGGAGGTGACACTCCTGACATGCGACTCTTCTGGAAGACACTGATACCACACAACTTGGGAGCTCTGCAAATGCTGTTTCACTTCCTTGTGACACCTTCAAAAATTCTAAGAACAATTTTGGAAATCACAAACATTTTTCTTTAGATTTATACTGCACTTAATCCCTTAACATATAATAATGTCTCTGAATTTTGACAATTTTGGAAAAAAATTATGAACCCATAAAACATCTGGGTTAGAATACACTGTCAAAATTAGGAGAAAATGGGAAAATGTACAATTGTCATTAAAATTTGGAAATAAATTTGAAAATGGCTCGTGGATAACACTAAGTTTAGATCGTTAAGTCATCTCAGCTTTATGCTTAGCAATTTTCAATTATTTGGGAAATGAAAATAGGAACAAGCCAAACTATAGTTTGGCTTTACTGCCTGTGTTTATTGGATGAAGATGGGAAAATAATGCTGGTAGCTATTTGGAACCATATATAATTCGAATTCATAAGACTATCTTCCAGAAAAGGATAACTAGAAAATAGAAAGATAGTTAAACTGGCATCTGTCAACCTACATCCTCTCCACTGTCATCCCTCGGGTCTATTTTGAATATTCCCACAACTTGAATCTTGGAAGAACATTGGATTGGAATCTGTTCATGGTTAGGATGAACACTATAACAAAAAGATGTCCAGAGACTCTTGTTTTTTCCTGAGAGGCTCATAATGACACGTGTAAAAGCTGCCCATAATATCCCGATTTCTGGGAAATTTAACTGTCGTCCTTGGTGATGCTAAGTGATTTCAGAAGTGTGATTTCACAAAAACCAGACAAACAAACAACATAGTACACTTGGTACAAAAATGTGCCAACCCTTCCAAGCCTTTAGGTTCTACCTCCCCCCGCCCACACAGAGTTCACTGTTTGAATAGATGTCTACTCCATTCTACTGTCTGCTGAAAGAACAGCTGGGCGCTGGTGGCTCACACCTGTAATCCTAGCTACTCAGGAGGCTGAGATCTGAGGATCATGGTTCAAAACCAGCCTGGGTAGGTAAGTCCATGAGACTCTCATCTCCAATAAACCACCAGAAAACCAGAAGTGGTGCTGTGGCTCAAGTGGTAGAGCACGCCTTGAGCTGAAGAGCTGAGGGACAGTGTCCAGCCCCAGAGTTCAAGCCCCATGACTGACAAAAAGAAAAAAAAAAGATTTTAAATGGAGACCTGCGAATGTGGCTGGGTTGTAGAGTAATTACTTGGCATGCATGAAGCCCTGGATTTGATTCTTCAGTAACACATATACACAAAAAAGCTAGAACTGTAGCAGTGGCTCAAAGTTGAAGAGTGCTAGCCTTGAGCAAAAGAAGCTCAGGGACAGTGCCTAGGCTGAGTTCAAGCCCTAGGACTGGCAAAAAAAAAAAAACATTTTCAGTGGAATGTCTTTGTAGTAAAATATTGAGCAGCATTTCTATTGTTAAATAGATGTTATTCACCATTCAAAGTAAATAGCCCAATACAACTTAATACTGTAATATAAGCCAAGGGCACCCTCTGCTGGAAGCAGCAGCTCATTAATGGTTCACCAATCCACTCCTTTGGGTGGAAACTTCTTTAAAGCATTTTCAAGTCCATTTTTTTTCTTTAACTTATGTTATAAATATGCTCTCCAAGAACCACTGGAGTCACAACAATAGACATGGAAAATGAAGAATTGTCTCCCAAGGCAAAATTTGCTTCTGCAGAAGGATGCACCATCATCCAGAAATATGGCAAGCAAGCACAGAGAGCAAGCAGGCTACTCCCGATTATCCCTAGCAACAGCCCCTGCCCCTTTGCTCAGACTGATTGAGCTCAGGTTCACAATCTGCTCACAATCAAGTCCACTTTTAAAGGAATGACAGGGAAGAGCGTGGGCTACACCCCCACGTGTGTGCAAGTGCATGCACAAAGGCTGGACAGCTGGGAGGACTTCACATGCCCCCTTCCTATTGTGGTAGGAACCTGCTCCTGTCCCCCGTGCCCTGGGGAACTTTTATTCATGTGCATATATTGCAACTAAGCTGTTTACAAAACTTTAGGCCATGGGCTGGGAAGGTGGCTCAATGGTAGAGTGCTTGCCTTGCATGCATGAGGCCCTGGGTTCTATTCCTTAGCACCACATAAGCAGAAAAAAAAAGCCAGAAGTGACACTGTAGCTCAAGTGGTAGAGTGCTAGCATTGAGCTGAAGAGCTGAGGGACAGCACCCAGGCTCAGAGTTCAGGCCCCACAATTGGATCCCCCCAAAAAACCAAAAAACAAACAAAAAAACTTTAGGCCAGCCTATTAGAACTTTTAAATTAAACCTTCCAAAGCATATATAATTTCAAATGAAAAGTAATAGGTACTCAAATTGTCAGTATACTCACTGTCCATCCACTTAGTAATAACTACAGAAAATTGTAGTCATTCATAGCCATTCATCTGTGTAACGATGCTGGAAAGCCACAGCCAAAGCTCAATTTCAGTTCTTTTTTTTTTCTTTTCTTTCTTTCTTTATTTTGTCGGTCATGGGGCTTGAACTCTGGGCCTGGGTGCTGTTCCTTAGCTCTTCAGCTCAAGGCTAGCGCTTTGCCAATTCAGAAAGTCAGAATACAATGGGCAAGTGTGCTTCAGTTGCCAGTGCTCTGATGTTCCATGCAAGAGCAGCCTGTCTAGTCCCTATCCCTAAACAGCAAGGGGTCATAGCTGTGTCTCAGGTCATCTATGGCCCTTTTAAAAGACAGTGATTTCCTGGGTTCTGTCCCCGACCTATAAAACCAGAATCTCTGAGATGCTGATATCTCACACCTATATAAATCCAGCTATTCAGGAGGTTGAGAA